AAGGGTCCTGCTGTCGCGGGTCGTGTGTCGCAACAGCAGGACCCTTTTTGGAGTGGATTTAGCCACGATTCAAGTTTGCTCAATGCAAGCATTTGCGCGATATCGCGCAAAATGCAAATCGCGCGTCAAACGCGCGATTTGCGAACCGCTCAATGTAAACGGGCTCTAAGTAAAATCAATAATCAAAAATCAATATAATAAGCCTCCACATTGCTCCTATATTTTTATCATATTCCCTGCATACATTTTCTAATAAATCCTAATGTAAATGTAAGTTTTTCTATGCAGTCACATGACTGCAAAACTCAAGTTATTTCCCCTTTTTAAGTGGATGGTGCTGCTGGTGGAAGTTAACTCTCTCATAGCCAAGAATGCCTTATGGATGCCAGCGGGATGACATCCACTCCATAATTCACATCTGTGACTGTAGAATTGAAGGGTGTGGAGTGAGTTATAAAGTATTTTATTAAAAAAAAAAAAAATTTCAAACCAATATCAGACTGTTAACTTTGCTAATGTGTAAGATGTCCAATTAAGCCCCTTTTAGTTGGGTAGCAGATAGCAACTTAGCTGCCCTTACTCACATTGCAATAATCTATTTTACATTTTTCACCCTTCCTTATTGAAAGGAGGATCTGTTTTTGAAGGCTCTCTTTTTTTAAACTTCTTGCTGAATTGCAATAGGTTACATGAACATATAATTAAAAACTCAGGGGACCTACATAACTGCAGACCTGCTATGGGTATATCGGTATCATCGTATGCCAGCTAGTATCAGTAGTACTATGATATATGATAGTATGCTATAGATAGTTAAATATTAACATGTCCTTACCAACTAGTAAATAGGCTTTACAAGTCTTCACAGACCTCTAGCTGCTGGCATTGTTGAGTGATTCATCCTCAAAATATACAGCCAAAACACTTTCATTTTCAACACCTCAGTTCAGTTTGCTCTCCCCTCCCAGCATGGACATGACAGATTGGCAGCCTTTTAGTTTCCAATGTAAGCACAGGGTAGTAGCACTCGAAGAGGGGGTAGAGCTGAGTGCAGGACTTCACTGCTTCTCTCATGAACATTGTTCACTGCTTCTCTTGTGAATTTTTAGAAAAAGCAGTGTCAAGATAGCAGAACTCAGGGTGGGCTTTTGGGGTGTTCGAGTTGTGTGGCCGCACAGGGCGACCATGGCAACAGGGGCGCCAGGCGGCCGACACAGCTCGGCCCCGGGGCAGCACAGCCTGCAACCTCTGCTCTACTCACTGCTCGACCATCCAACATGACAGCGATCCCTCCCCACCCGCTTCAGCGCTGTCTTTCTCCTCGGATCTGAGGAGAAAATGTCAGCTGAAGCCTGCTGGGGGGCAGAACGCTGCCTGCTGTACGGATGGCCGAGAGGTGAGGAGAGAAGCCGCAGCTGTCAGGATGGCCAAGCAGGGAGGAGAGTAGAGCCCCTGTCATCCTGTCAGTTTCAGGATCACAGCGGCTCTGTGCGTGGCCAAGCGTAGGATGGGTAAATATCTATGATATTTACCCATCCTCTGTGCAGAACAAACACTGCAGTGATCAGCTGATCACTGCAGTGTTTGTAAATAACTGGGGACACAGAGTACTATGTGTCCCCAGTTATGAATGAACAGGGATTGAACTGATTTATATTTATAAAATATTCCTACAAGGTGAGGAGAGAAGCCGCAACTGTCAGGGTTGCCGAGGAGGGAGGAGAGTGGAGACGCTGTCATCCTGTCAGTTTCAGGATGACAGCGGCTCTGTGCGTGGCCAAGCGGAGGATGGGTAAATATCTGTGATATTTACCCATCCTCTGTGCAGAACAAACACTGCAGTGATCAGCTGATCACTCCAGTGTTTGTAAATAACTGGGGACACAGAGTACTATGTGTCCCCAGTTATGAATAAACAGGGATTGAACTGATTTATATTTATAAAATATTCCTTCAAGAAACAAAATGGTTTGCTAAGCTTTAGGATATTTTTACTTTTAAACTATTGCATTCTTTTTTATGTAGCTAGAGATCAAAGAGCTTAGACTTTCATCTCGGTATATACTAAGGTCATTTGACTATGATTCAATCATTTTTGTGTTTCTCTGTGCTTGCTTTGGTGAACCATGTTTTAAAAACGTGGCCAGATATGTCATGGTGATCATTTAAAGGCTCAGTGGTGATTGCAGGAGATTCGCAGTGGACTGTTCATGTTGCAGTCTTAAAAATCCAAAATATATTTAACTGATCACATTTTGCATATTTTTTGAATTCCTCCTAAATAGAAAATGTACTTGGTCACCCCACAGTATAGATAGAGCTCTGTGTGTTATAATACAAATAGTTTTTGATTTGTACCCTGAAGCAGTTGGTTGGTAATTGTATGACTACATGCATCTCTACAAAAAATAGATTTCTGCAACACATTATACAACCTAATCACAAATATATGCTGAAATCAGTTACTCAAGGCACCTTTGGTCATAACTTTCAGAGTAGTCACAGGGCAAAAGGAGCTTCACCAACTCTAATGCATTAGATCAATATAAAACTGTGGAACAAGCATACTATGCAGATAAAGATATTACATGTTTATGTTAGTTAGGGTTAAATGCGTCGAATCAGTGTCTTCGTATTATGCTTGTTCCAAAATAAAGTATATGGATTTTAGAGGAGGGTGTGTGCCATTCATCTACTGATTTGAACCTGATTAAAAATTTATTTGTTTGCCCAATCCAAATGCGTGTTTCAATGATTAGTTTAAATTACCTTTCACACATTTTATTAGTTTTATTCTATTTGTTCAAACTTGGTTTCATTATGGAAATATTTTGCCACAGAAAAGTTAAGGTAAAAGTTGGAGAAATAATGGAACCAGACTTTGCAAACCTTTGCTAATCACACATATTATCTAAACCATGGAAATTTGATTTGTGCATTTGCCAAGTGGCACTGTAATTGCTACTCTAGAAGCATTAGTAGAGGCCTTACAATGTTAATTGCATATTTCAACCAATATCAACAAGCTAACCCAAAGAATACAGTCTTTTACTTCTTAACAGCTTGATAAACAGCTGTGGTTGTAAACAATGCTGGGGTTGTGGTGACAACATAAATTACATAATCAAATAACTATTGATTGGTGGATGACAGGGGAAGACTTGTATAGTCTTTGAGCAGCTATCAATTGATTTAGATAAAAGGAAAAACATAGACTATGTACCTTTGTGTTCTGTTAATAAACAAAGCGGTTAAACAGAGAAAAGATATACCGTACCTGTCATTAATTAAGTTACTACAGACAAGTAATACAATTACTACTAATAATGTGGCTAGCCATAAATTCCTCTTTTTCTTAATGATAAATCTGACTAGAGCATCACAAATGATAATCTGATAGTGTAGGAGTAGAGAAATAAACACTCAGATATAAGTGTAAGTCTGCAGTCTGTCATGGATGTTTCCTTTAATGTAGGATGCCTAATAAAGATTGACTAATCGTCAGCAGTTACTGATCTTCAGCTGACCAATACCTAAATGATGAATGTTCTAACATGTCTTACATGGCAGTAAGATCCCAGGCACATTCAATCTCAGGTGTGGTTCTTTGCTCAGGTTGTATAAAAATGGGTGTCAGTCCAAAAATAGAAACTAGTTTATTGCACATGGCAATATGGGAAATAGGGTTAGGTGTAGATCTGGATATCCCTAGACATGGTTGACACGGTTGGTTGATCTTATACTTCAGACTAGGCCTTGATCTCATCTCTGTGCATTCTAAACACAAACTATGCTGGCTAGACTGGACTCTTGCAGAGCTCTGGCTCCTTTGCAATTGAGGTTCAAGTAGTATCACAGTCTTTATATTCCAAGTCAGGACAACATGGAAAGGTTCCTGAGTATAATTTTCACTCAGCCAGTCACTCGCCACATCTCCATATGTGGGGACAGTCGCAGCTTCTTTTCTCTAGGCCAGGGATAGTCTAACTTCGGCACTCCACCTGTTGTGACACAAGTCCCATATGGCACGACAGCCACAGGCATGACTTCCAGAGGCAGATGCATGATGGATTTTGTATTTCACTACAGCTGCAGGACCAAAGATTGTCTATCCTTGCTCTAGGGCGGCTATACACTTTTGGCTCCACCAACCAGCATTTTCAGAAATACCTTCCAGGAGTAGGGTTCTTTCATCCTTTCCACCCCTAGGCCCCAAATCATGGGGAGAGAGACAGATTTTCTTATGGGTTCATGGGCACAAAAGCCCATGAGGGAGGAGACAGAACAGGAAGTGTCCCAGACATTTAGTGGTTATCCCAGTATGCACCACCAGCCCCCCAAGCCTGTCATTTGGCTAGGCCACCAAACATCTATAACAAAGAATGATACCTCTCTAGCTGAAGCAAGCTCAAAAAAGCATGTGGCCGAGAATATACACTATATGCTTAAAGATCACTTTTGCTGACATATACATGTCAAGTACATATAGGCTGACTGGAGCCCACTTTCTACAGAAATTACAAAAATACACATAGGAATTTAGCAAAATTACAACATCCCTATACCTGCAATAGAAAAGTTTTCTTTTACAACAAAATGGTAATGTGTTTCCCTACTAAGATTAACATTTGCAATGAGTTTCTGAACATGGAAGTCATGACAGGCATAGACAGATTTCTTAACATGTGTAGCAACCGTTTAGGTTTTCCTAGCAGTAAGCTTAGACTGAATAGAAATACACTAATTAACAGTTTAAAAATACTGGAGGCAAGGATACATTTGAAATCATTGTAGTGTTTGTAATATCACCTGTGATGCGTGTCGGAATCCTGGGTGTTTGCCATCTCACCATATGTATATGTTGGGAGGGGAAAGGGGCTTGTTGTGATTGGTGTTGTTGTTGTGTATTTGGTAATTGTTTATCTGGGATGGGGGGCTAACTAGTTTTGGGAGGTCAGCAGCACCCTGTGAACATTGCCCACTCCCTACCTTCATGTCAGCTGCAGAGCATGGAACTAGGCTGGCTGCTGCTTCTGTAATCTTACGACCACTGCAAGGCATCGCAGGAAGAAGCCAGACAAAGGCAGACGGACGCGCATACAAAAAGAGGAAAAGCTAGAGAAGAACAACAGAGAAACAAAGAGGCATGGTATGTGTTGCTGTTATTGTATGTGAAGTGCTTTGAATTTTATATTTTCATAAATGCTTTCATAGTGTCAAAGATGTATTTATATTCTGGTTGTTTTTGTACCACATGTATTAATCTAATTTAACAGGTATCTATGTTGATTCGGTTAAATGCCATGCTTGTTCTGATACCTTTGCACTGCAAAAAGCCAGGCCAGGGTGTTTTTGAACATTCCTTGGGTGAGGAATATCATCTTTCCAAATATAGGTTCAGTTCACTCAGTGGGTATTCCTCTCGATCTGCATACAACACTTAGACACCCTTAGGTGAGAATTACATCAGTTTGCTTTTACATAGTATTTGAGGTTGAATAAAGACATTAGTCCATCAAGTCCAACCTATTAGGATCTCATTCTAGGAGTACCCGTACCCCTGTATATTACGGTCCCTTAAGAAATCGTCCAAAAGTTTCTTGAACAATTCCACATTATTTGCTGAAATCACCGCCTGTGGCAGTGAGTTCCAGACCCTAACTGATCTTACTGTGAAGAACCCCCTTTGCCCCTTGTGCTGGAATTTTTTTTCCATCAATTTTAGGTGATGGCCTCTAGTTTTTGTAACGGAGTTAATTTTAAACAGTTTATCGCTAATGTTGCTACCACCATTAAACATTTTGTACATGGAAATCATATCCCCCCTTAATCTCCTCACCTCTAATGTGAACATGTTTAAATTTAGTAGCCTCGTCTCGTAGCTCTGGTCCTCCATACCCCTAATTAGTTTGGTTGCCCTTCGCTGGATTTGTTCCAACTCAAGGACATCTTTTCTTAGTACTGGTGACCAGAACTGGACCGCGTACTCCAGATGAGGTCGAACCAATGATCTATAAAGTGGCAAAATTATAGACTTGTCCCTGCAATACATCCCCTTTTTAATACAGGACAAGACCCTGCTAGCTTTGTTTACAGCAGCCTGGCACTGCAAACTACCTTTCAGTTTATGGTCTACAATGACCCCCAAATCCTTCTCCATTTCTGACTTCCCCAGCGGCATACCCATAATTGTATAACCCATTTGTTTATTTTTAATTCCAAAGTGCATTACTTTGCATTTATCGACATTAAACCTCATCTGCCACATTAATGCCCACTCCCCTATTTTATCCAGGTAATATACAGAATATAGTATGTGGCCTTATATAATAGGAAGTTCTTAATCTATAGGGATAATTCTTAAGAACAGTAAACTACAGCAACCAATACATTTGCATTAAGTACTGGTTTATTTCCAAAGAGTGAATTCCAATTGGTTGATAATGGATACTTTCATTACATACGAGCACTTAGGAGCATAAACAGAGTATGTAGCATACAGAGTATGTATCCATTACATTTTTCTGCGAATGCGAGTCGCGATCAGATTTCATTAACTGTTGTCAAAATAACTTTGTGAACCCTTAGAAACTCTTTAACTTTTTGCATGAATGGTTTTGAATGTCATCAAAGTCACAAAAAGTATATTACATGAGGAAAAAAGATGTTCATAGATTAAGTATTTGCTAGTGTAATACTATCTTGAAAAGAGTGTAATTGAAATCAGGTTGTATAATTATCTTAAGTTTGGATTTGACCTGTCATGCTGTATTAAAGATTTAGCTACCTCATGTTTACAACAGAATTGTGTTGAAGATAAATGTGGTCTGACTGAAAGAGTTTTAGGGAACCTCTAGTGAGTTGGCATAAGACTAGAAACAATTAAAAAAGGATTCCCAAAAATGTGAGATATTAGTCCATAGGTAGCTTGCACACAGAAGAAATTCAGTATCAAATTTATGCTCTCTAGGATTGGGGGCCTTACAAAGATCAGTAAAATCCATATGGTGTCAAATTCCCATTGGCTGACAGGAAAAGATCTTCAGGCAACTCATTATTTGGTATTTATGGCAAGTTGTTAAGAGAAAACCACTGATTTCCAAGCAATACTTTTTTCCTATCACAAGTTTGTTAAAGACCACATTGATGTTTCATAGCAATGCTTTGCAGACAGAGTGTAAGGTTAAAACGTTTGATAAATGTGCACAGCAGTGCATTTGGAGAAAACAAACATAGAAACCAGCACCAAAACTGTATCCCAACAGTGAAACATAATGTAGGTCTGCTGTACTGTTTCAGGACCTGGATGCCTTATAATCATTGCAGGACCATTAAATTCCAAGTTGTATTAGGACATTTTACAGCAGAATGTCAGCAGATCTGTTTGTGATCTGAAACTAGCAAGACGGTGAGGCTGATTTACTGAAGGATATTAGAAGGTTCACACATTAAATTGTGTGAACATTCACTTAAGTTATCCAATCATTTACAGTTTGATTTGTTAAATTTAGATTTACTTTTCACATGATTGGATAAATGAGGTGAATTATCACAACATTTTATTCTCAAATTTTAGTAAATTAGCCTTGTTGGTTCCTGCAATGTGACACTCTCATAACTGGAAGTATTACAAATTATATCTCACTAGGGCTGCAGCAGCAGATTGGCGACAGGAAATGCTCCTCAGAGCCTCCTTCACCATTACTTTGATAATATATGCTCAGTACAGGGATGCTTTCAGGAAATCTGTTATGATATCTATATGTAGGCCACCGTTGCTGACCTCCTGAAAAGGTAGTGGTTGCACTGTCATGGTAAAGTTCTTAAAGTACATTTATCCAAAAGATTAGCCGCACAAAGACAGTAGATACAATTCAACATTTATTGAAATCGTCCAAAAAATTAATCCAAGAGAGTAGTAAGCAATGTGTACATCACTAGAAAAATCTCTCACACCATGCCAACGACTCTCACGCGTTTCTCCTAAACTACATGGTTAAAGCCACAGGAGTAGCATAACAGCAAGTGTATATTCAGAAAATATTCTGAAATGATTCCCCCAAACATCATACAATGCAATCCATGGAGATTCCTGGTGTTATTGCATTTGTATATGTTCTGGGATCTGAATAAAAGTTTATTCTAACCAGTTCAACTTGGTCAATAAACACGGCAAAAACCTACAGAAGCCAATCAGAATTCACTTTAGTAAAGCTAGACCAGAACAAAATAGATTATTTAAGGTTGCCTGCTGTGTCTATCTAATTATTCTCCTTGATATCTTTTATTGATATTGATTACGCCTTAATGTATTGCCAATCAAAGGAAATTGTATTCCCAAAGAACATGTACATTCCAGAATGTATTGCAGAAAAGAAACATTTACAAAATCTTTTGTGGACACAATTTCACTGTGCTTAAATAACTGATGATTCATTGTAAGTCAAAGAACGAAAAAGAGTCAATTTCTTTTGTAGATTAACATAAAGGTCATTTTAAGGTGATACCTTTTAATAGTTAACCAAAGTAGAAATCACTGCATGCTTTCAAGCCTCAGAAAGGCAACAATCTGTCAGATGAAGGAGCCCTTTTGAACCTTGAAAGCATGTAATATAGTTATATATGTGAAGATGTCAGTTAAAAAAATGAGGTACGTATTAAATTGTATGCTACCTGTAACATATTTGGCATGCTTTATTAATTTTCTCAGCTATATTTAACTGCCTATATTTCCACTTAGGTCTCATTCACAACTAGGCGTATTGCATATGGGCATCTGTCGCGCGACAAAAAAGTTGTGCGACTGTAGCGCGTTTCCGAAGGCTACTTGGCTGTATCCCAATGGAAACGCGCAACAAAACGGCCCAAAGTAGTACATGTACCTTTTCAGGCGTGGGCCGTTTTGTAGCGTGTTAGGGACGGTGATATTAGTCCATAGGTAGCTTGCACACAGAAGAAATTCAGTATCAAATTTATGCTCTCTAGGATTGGGGGCCTTACAAAGATCAGTAAAATCCATATGGTGTCAAATTCCCATTGGCTGACAGGAAAAGATCTTCAGGCAACTCATTATTTGGTATTTATGGCAAGTTGTTAAGAGAAAACCACTGATTTCCAAGCAATACTTTTTTCCTATCACAAGTTTGTTAAAGACCACATTGATGTTTCATAGCAATGCTTTGCAGACAGAGTGTAAGGTTAAAACGTTTGATAAATGTGCACAGCAGTGCATTTGGAGAAAACAAACATAGAAACCAGCACCAAAACTGTATCCCAACAGTGAAACATAATGTAGGTCTGCTGTACTGTTTCAGGACCTGGATGCCTTATAATCATTGCAGGACCATTAAATTCCAAGTTGTATTAGGACATTTTACAGCAGAATGTCAGCAGATCTGTTTGTGATCTGAAACTAGCAAGACGGTGAGGCTGATTTACTGAAGGATATTAGAAGGTTCACACATTAAATTGTGTGAACATTCACTTAAGTTATCCAATCATTTACAGTTTGATTTGTTAAATTTAGATTTACTTTTCACATGATTGGATAAATGAGGTGAATTATCACAACATTTTATTCTCAAATTTTAGTAAATTAGCCTTGTTGGTTCCTGCAATGTGACACTCTCATAACTGGAAGTATTACAAATTATATCTCACTAGGGCTGCAGCAGCAGATTGGCGACAGGAAATGCTCCTCAGAGCCTCCTTCACCATTACTTTGATAATATATGCTCAGTACAGGGATGCTTTCAGGAAATCTGTTATGATATCTATATGTAGGCCACCGTTGCTGACCTCCTGAAAAGGTAGTGGTTGCACTGTCATGGTAAAGTTCTTAAAGTACATTTATCCAAAAGATTAGCCGCACAAAGACAGTAGATACAATTCAACATTTATTGAAATCGTCCAAAAAATTAATCCAAGAGAGTAGTAAGCAATGTGTACATCACTAGAAAAATCTCTCACACCATGCCAACGACTCTCACGCGTTTCTCCTAAACTACATGGTTAAAGCCACAGGAGTAGCATAACAGCAAGTGTATATTCAGAAAATATTCTGAAATGATTCCCCCAAACATCATACAATGCAATCCATGGAGATTCCTGGTGTTATTGCATTTGTATATGTTCTGGGATCTGAATAAA